TTTTAAAGATTTGTTCCTTTATGCACAGAAAAGCTGGCGTGCAGGCCAGAGGTGTGGGGGTGAGAGGACTCCCCAGAGACAGCAGGGAGCAGAACAGGCGGACCCCCTGAAATGCTCTGCTGAGGGGGCAGTAGGAGACAGGAGGGGTCTGCTGCGCCCCGGGGGTCCCTCCCTGGCCAGGGAAACTCACGCTGCAGCGGCTGCCGACAGCCTCACAGTGCTGAGACACCCCGGCACCCCCTGCGAGGCTGAGACACCCCGGCACCCCCCGCGAGGCTGAGACACCCCGGCACCCCCAGCGACGCTGAGACACCCCGGCACCCCCCGCGAGGCTGAGACTCGCCCCTGCGCCCCGCGAGGCCCAGGCCGTGGTTTGTATCAGTGGCCACGCCGTTACTTTTCTCTGGCAGCACCTCACTGCTTCAAGCATTCTAGCTTGACGTCTTGACACCGGCGGTGGCCGTGTGACTTTGGAGAATGATTTCATTGTCAGGAAACACGGGAGGCCTCCGGAAGCGCGGCCGGCTGGAGCGCAGCAGCTCGAGTCCGTCCCCGCCCGGGAGGACCCGGGGCGCAGCAGCCCCTCCTGTCTCCCGCTGCCCTCAGGGGCCCGCCCGTCCCGCTCCCCACGCTGCCTCTGGGGCGTCCCCTCGCCCCCACACCTCTGGCCTGTATCCCAGCTCTTGTGTGCATCAATAAATCCTTGAAAAGAAACAAAGGGACATCCACGGGAGAGTTTCAACGACAACTGTCAAGCGCTCAAGGCCGGACAGACGACGGCAGGTCGGCGGGGGCCGCGGGCAGCGGCGGCCTCCGCAGCCGGGCAAGGGAAACATCGGGAAGGGCGGTGAGGCGCCTGGGAGCTCTGTGGACTGCCCTGGCCGCTCTTCGGGCCGCTGGAAATGATGCCGAGGCGGAACGCTGACCCTGGGTGCCCGGCAGCCAGAGCTCCGCTTCCCACAGCCCTGGGCAGCCCCCTGAGAGCGGGCGCCAGCCCCGTGCCACCCCGGGCTCGCCCTCCCTCCGGACCCCGTCCG